TGGAGACTCCAATAGGGTAAAGCTACCAGGAGCATGAATCACACATCTGGAAAAGCCATGTACATGCCAAACATCAAGGTAGCCATGTGAACCTGCAAAGCCCTATGAATGGGGCTACCCAAGGCCTTTGGGGCCATTTGCCTGCTCAGCATTAACAAGATTCCAGATTTCCTAGAGCTTTAAAATTTAATGTCTGCCACACTGAATTTCACTCCTCCTTTGGTCTGATTATTCCTCTATATTTGCCTATTTCTTCCTTTTGGATTAGGAGGGTTTACCGTGCACCTATTCCACCACTGTAGGCAAGTAAATTGTGTTTTTTGTTTTGTTTTGTTTTGTTTTTACAGAGGCTCACAGCTAAAAGAGTTTGCCTTGAGTCTCAAAGGAGACTTTGGACTTTGACTTTTGAGCAATATTGGAACAAGTTAAAACGTTGACCCATGAAAAGAATACACTTTGCCTTGTAAGGTGGACAAGAGGTCAGGGGACCAAGAATGAAATACTATGGTTTGAATGCGGATTGTAGTCAAGAATTCATATATTGAAGGCTTGGTACCTATTATGGCAGTGTTGAGATGGTAAAACTTTAAGAAGTCAAACCTAGAGGGAGGTCACTGGGGTTGCTGCCCTCAAGAGAGCAAATTGTTGGGAGTGAGCCTAACCTGTGAATCACTATTTGGCTTTCTATTAAGCAATGTGATCTCTCCCTCTTTTAAATGCTTCCACCAAAATTCAATATGCCTTAAAGAGGAATGAATGAAATTTGGCCTTTACCTTACACCATTATGCAAAAAAAAAAAAAAAAAAAAACCACCAAAAAAAATGAACCAATGGAGCTGCCTGTTCTTGGACTTTCAGCCTCCAAAACAGTTAGCTACGTAAACCTCTTTTCTTTAAAAGCATGCCACCAGTGTTTTATTATAGTATTGCAAAATGGAGAACACAACCAGCAAATAAATTCAGTGCTTATATAAGCAATATAGAGGATCAACATGTACAAATCAGTTGTCTTTTTTTATACCCAGAGCATTTAATCCAAAAATGAGATTGAGTTCCACTTACTATAGCAGCAAAAATAATAAAATACTTAGTAATAACCAAGGAGGTAAAAAGTCTGCACACTGAAAACCATAAGACACTGAGGAAGACAAAAATAAATTTAAAAATATCCCATGATTATGGAATGGGAGAATTAATATTGTTAAAATATCTTTACCACCAAAAATGATACACAGATTCAATACAATCCCTTTCAAAATTCCTATGACATTTTTCACAGAAATGGAAAATTTGAAAATTTGTATGGAATCACAAAAGACAATAGACAAAGCAGTCTTGAGGGGAAATAAAAGAAACAAAGTTAGAGGCATCGAACTTCCTGATTTCAGATACAGTAATCAAAACAGTACAGTACTAGTACAGAGACAAAACAGAAAGCCCAGAAATAATCCCAAGCATATATGGTCAACAAAATTTTTACAAGAGGAGGAAGAATACATAAAGGGGAAAGGTGAGTTTCTTCAATAAATGGTTTTGAAAAAAAAAATGATTTATCTTCTTGCAAAAGAATGAAATTTGACCTTTACCTTACACCATATGCAAAAAAAAAAAAAATGGATAAAACTCAACATCACTAATCATCAGAAAAGTGGAAATAAAAACCAGAGTGAGATATCACCTCATACCAGGTAGGATGACTATTATGAAATGGGAAATAGATAACAATAGTTGGAAAAGATATACAGAACAGGGAATCCTAAGGCATTGTTAGTGAAAATGTTAGTTGGTATAGTCATTATGGAAAACAGCATGAAGTTCCTCAAAAAATTAAAAAAAGAATTAACAAATGACCTAGCAATAGCTTTTTAAGGGTATATACTCAAAGGAAATAAAATCAGTACCTCAAAGACAGATTTGTGTTCTCATGTTCATTGCAGCATTATTCACAATAGCCCAAATATGGAAGAAACTTCATAGAGTCCATCACAGATGAATGGATAAATCATGGTGTGTGTGTGTGTGTGTGTGTGTGTGTATTACTGTAAATATATATTATAATTATTGTGTTAACTTTTTGTCACTGTAACAAAAAACAACTTTGAAAAGATTTATTTTATTCTGGCTCATTTATTTTGGTCCATGTCTCCTTGAATCCATGCTTTGGGCCTGAGATGAGACAGAACATTATGACCTAAGAACATGGAGAAAGAAAGCTGTCCAGCATTTTGACAGCCATGAAAAGGAAAACAGAAAAGAGAGAGAAAGGAGTAAGGATGTATCCCTTGGGGGAATGCCCTCAGTGACCTATTTACTCCATTAGGCTCCACTTCCTATACCTGCCAATACCTCCATATAGTCCATCCAGTTATAAACCGATCAATGGATTGATTGATCCATTGATGAAATCAGAGATCTCATGATTGAAATACTTCCCCAAAACCCCACTTCAGAAGTTCTGCTGCTTTGAAGATCAAGCCTTCAACATATGAACCTTTAGGGAACATTCCAGATTCAAACCATAACTAGGGATAAATGGATAAGTAAAAGAAGTATATACATACAACCTGGTATTGTTCAGCTCTAAAAAGCTGTCATATACACTCAACATAGCTAACTCCTGAGGACATTTTACTAAATTAAATAAGCCATTCACAAATAACAAATACTGTATGATTCCACTTATATGGGATACTTACAGTAGTCAAAAATCACAGAAACAAAAAATGAAATGGTTGCTGTGGGAACCAAGAGGAAAAAGGAATGGGGATTTATGAATATGAATGAGAATCTACTTCATACCACTGAACTGTACACTTAAAATTTAAGATAGTATGATTTATGTTATATGCATTACACCACTATAAAAATGGAGGTTAAAAAGAAATTTAACATGTGAAATCTGAGTCTCACAATGAATTCACAAAGAGGTAGTATTCACAAAGGGTATCTGAAGAGATAATGGTTGAAGTATTTACAAAACTAGAACAACAAAACAAAGACTGAAGAAGCTCAAAGAAACTTTTAACATACCCGTATTTTGCCAAATACCTACAGAAACATAGTAAATCTTGCTTCTTCTCCTTACATTTTTTGGGGGAGGATGTTAAACCCAATATTTCAATTTTTATTATTTGGAGTATTCAGCACTGTGTTGTTTAATATAATAGCCGATGCCAACACCTATCTACTTAAATTTAAATTTAAGGAAATGCAAATTTTAAAATTCAGTTCTTTGATTACACTAAACATATTTCAAGTGCTCAGTAAAAATATCTGAAGACTGTCTATCAAATGGACAGTACAGATATAGACCATTTACATCACTGCAGAAATTTCTATTGACTATGCTAGCTTACAGCATTTATATTTAACTTGTTATATGGGTTACGATTTTTATCTATTATGCTATTTGTTTTCTAATTGTCAGATTTTTTTCATTCTTTCTTGTTTCTTTTCCTTCCTTCCTTTTCATTAAGTACTTTTATGATTCCATTTTCTCTGATATTGGCTTGCTATTATGTCTCCTGGTTTTATTAAATATCTTTAACTCACCAGTCTCTCCAGATAACACTATACTATTTCAACTACAAGTAATAACATTTACAACAACAAACTTCCTTTTCTTTCCCTGCCCCTTCCATCTTTTCTACTATCGTGGTCACATATTTTACTTCTCTATAGTAAAATACACAATGCACTGTTATTATGTATGACCATTTCCATGCTCTCAGGTGTTTATTTTTATGAGAAAACTGGAAAACGCAAAATCCTGTGAAAGACAAGTTGCTATTTTAAATATTTTATCTTCACTGATATTAAAAGTAAACATTTTAAAAGAAATTTAGAGATACTGAATTCAAGTTCTTGGTAATTTGGCAAGAGATTTTTAAAAATCAATGTGTACACCACATCTAACATTTTTACATCATAAAATACAATATTCTCTATATTTGATAACTTTACTACCTCAAGGTGGGTTTTAGGTTTTGTTTCAAATCCCACAGACTTGACACCTATAGATTAAGGGACTTCAAAAGAACACAGAGTTAAAGACGTCTAGGCTTAAGCTCTATCCAACATTAGATAAGTAAACAATACATCATTTTAATTGTAAGTTTATCTTGGAATCTTTAGGATAACATGTAGAATGATATGCTTCAAGTTCAAAATTTTAATTTTGAAAATGTATGTAGGTTTTATTATTTATTTCATCTTTCCTGTTTCTGCTGTTAGGGTCTTTTGTTTTGTCCACCAATTACTTGGCCTCACTATAACCATTATTTCTTTTCATATAATATTCTTTAGACTATTTTCTTCTATTAAGAAACAAGAGATTATGGATCAACCTTTCATTCAAAAGTTTACATTGAAAAGCCAGACCAAAAAATTACTTACTCCATCCAGAAATATTTGTGTCTGTATCTTTCAAGAATAGAAATATACATTTATTTCCATAAGACAGACTGTGACCATTTCCATCATTCACAGTAGTCATGATTCCAGATTTATTTCCAAAATAGATGCATATAATATGGCAGGTGAGCCACTGGGCCAGACCTACATTATACCTTTTGACAAAATATATTTTGTGGCTCATGTCTTATAAATGTAGTTTCACAGTAGACAGCAAACAGTGAATAAATCTATCCTTATTTCATGGCAAGGAGCCCAACTCATATTTTTACTGACTTACTATAGACTAAGTTAAGACCCAGTTTAAAAAAAAAAAACATGGCGAGCTGAAAATGACTACCCACTTCAACATGCCTGCCAAGGACAACCCTAAGAATACTACATTCCAATTCTCAAGAAACCTAACACCACTGCTAGAATATTAATGTACTAAATAAAATTTAGTATTAAGCACTGCTTATTTAAAAAAAAAAAAGACTTAAGTTCTATAAACTCAAAATCCAAGAATGTCTAAGTGTGAATTAAAAATATCAGCAAGAAAGCCCTACACTTCAGTTCCTCAATGCAAAGTTCTTTTGGACACTTACCCAAGTCTTCCCAGCATCTCAAGCTCAGGAACATTTGGTCCACATGTCTCTATTTGCAGTGGTTGGTATTCATAGAGAGCTTCTTCAAGCTTATGAACAGGTGCCAATGAAATATGTTGACCCTATTTTAAAAAGGAAAGAAATTGGTTGTCTTTTAATATTACTTTCATACTGTTAGATAATTGTAGTCATTTCAAAGATGGACTGAATTCCTCATATTTAAAAACAATATCCATTAGGAGGTTTTTCAAGATAGTGAAATACAGAAAGTTGCTGTCCTGGCTGCTCCATAGCATAAAACCAAGAAAGCAGATAGGCAGCTTCTTGGCTGAATGAAAAAAAGCAGAGGATGAGGGAGACTTTACTGGAATTTAATATTGGACACTCAAAACAGATCAAGGACTCAGGAGGTTGGATATAATAAAATAAGGAAAAACTCCCCAGCACTGCAGGTGTTGCCATGGCCAGAAGTACCACTGGAAGCAGTCCCTCCATAAGCAATTTGGAAAAATAAGGGAATCATAGGAACCTGCATTTTTAGGAAGACTGAGTTATGTCTGCGTATGGAGAGTTTAGAGATCAAAGACACTGCCAGACTAAACTGAAAGATGGCTGCACAATATCCTTGGGTGAGAAAGAAGCCGCCATCTCTCCAGGCTGCATACAGAGGACAGAGGAAGGAACCATTTTGTAGCCATGGTGCAGGGGGACAGCAGCAGAGGGAGCTGATTCCTGGCAAACCCACGTTTGAACCAAAACACAGGACTGGTAAACTCACATTGCATGACACAGAGTGTGCCTAAGTGAGCAAGTGAAAATCAAATGTGAGAGAGGTTTATACAGAGAGACAACTGGTCATGGAAACAAATCCAGATCTTCCCCTCCCCCTCCAATCCAGGTGCTTATGGGATTCATTAGTAGAGATGGGCTTTGCTAGGAATTCAGAAGGTCTGGGGCAGGAGAGATTGAGTTTGGAGGCTGAACCTGAGACCAGAAAGCATGGGGTCCACAGATGACAGAGTAGAACTGGTTGCTCCACCACCTGAGTGGAACCCAGGGGCAATCCCAAGGGTAGAGTCTTCCAGCGTGAACCAGCAATTGCTGGGCCATGGAGGAGTGCTGATTTAAAATCTCCAGACCAACTGGCATTTAGCAAACAGCCTGAAGCCTACCAAAGCCTAATTCCTGCCTCCAGAGTTCCACCTATAGGATTACCTCTCTCACCCTTCAGGGTGTGGTTACATAGCACTGTTGAGAAGGGAAGCTAAGAATCTTCTGAACTCCAAAGGAAACAATTCTTTAACTTTTCATTGAGATTTTTTTGTTGTTGTTGTTCTTTTTTACTTTTCTGTTTAATTCTGACCTTAATGGTGGAATGGTTCATGGACATTTATATAATTTCACAGTTGTTGTTTTTTCTCCTCATTTCTAGCATTTTTGAAACCAGTCATTTTTCATGGACCAGTTTTTTGAGGATTAGGATGTTTGATTCATATATTTCAGTTTTGTTTGGTATTGTTTAATTTTTTTTATTTTTAACTTTTCAAACACCAATTCTGTCCTCTCCCTGTCTACCAGTTGAATTGTGAACTCTTTTGCAAACTTACTGTTTTTATTGTAGGCAATAAGTGATCATTTCTATTTATTGTGACAATGCTATAGACATCATAACAAAAACTTTTTCATTTAATGCTACATATTATTTGCATTAATTATTATTATTATTTGTCTTCCCATAAACAGTAGGGTACTGGAAACCTTCAGGGACACTACAAGTCTACAGGGTAGAAATTCTACAGCCTCGGATCCATACTGTTAGATGGGTAGACACACAAACAGCATAAAAACTCAAGGGAACAAATTGACCCAAACAAACCAAGATACTTCAATAATGGAATCCATCGATGTGACAGTGGAAGAAACATTCGAAGGAGTTTAAAATATACAAGTTGAACTAATCTATGAGAAAAAGAACACTGTAAAGAGTGAAATCAGAGAGAAAATATAGGAGATGAAAGATCACTTCAATAAAATAAAGCTGACCATGAAAATAAAGATAACCATGGAGAGGAGTCCCTAGATATCAAATCAGAGACACTGCGTCTGATAGAAGAAAAAGTTGGCTACGATCTACATACTGTGGGGTCAGGCTCCAAATTCCTTAATAGGACGCCCATAGCCCAAGAGTTAATAACAAGAATAAATAAATGGGACTTACTCAAACTAAAAAGTTTTTTCTCAGCAAGAGAAACAATAAGAGAGGTAAATAGAGAGCCTACATCCTGGGAACAAATTTTTACCCCTCACACTTCAGATAGAGCCCTAATATTCAGAATATACAAAGAACTCAAAAAATTAAACAATAAGATAACAAATAACCCAATCAACAAATGGGCCAAGGACCTGAACAGACACTTCTCAGAGGAGGACATACAATCAATCAACAAGTACATGAAAAAATGCTCACCATCTCTAGCAGTCAGAGAAATGCAAATCAAAACCACCCTAAGATACCATCTCACTCCAGTAAGATTGGCAGCCAGTATGAAGTCAAACAACAATAAGTGTTGGCGAGGATGTGGGGAAAAGGGTACACTTGTACACTGCTGGTGGGACTACAAATTGGTAAGGCCAATCTGGAAAGCAGTATGGAGATACCTGGGAAAGCTGGGAATGGATCTACCATTTGACCCAGTTTTTATCGCCTTCCTCGGACTATTCCCTGAGGATCTTAAAAGAGCGTACTATAGGGATACTGCCACATCAATGATCATAGCGGCACAATTAACAATAGCTAGACTGTGGAACCAACCTAGATGCCCTTCAATAGACGAATGGATAAAAAAAATGTGGCATCTATACACAATGGAGTACTACGCAGCAATAAAAAATGACAAAATCATAGAATTTGCAGGGAAATGGATGGCATTAGAGCAGATTATGCTAAGCGAAGCTAGCCAATCCTTAAAAAACAAATGCCAAATGTCTTCTTTGATATAAAGAGAGCAACTAAGAACAGAACAGGGAGGAAGAGCATGAGGAAAAGATTAACATTAAACAAAGACGAGTGGGGGGAGAGAAAGGGAGAGAGAAGGGAAAGCATATGGAAATGGTAGGAGACCCTCAATGTTACACAAAATTACATAGAAGAGGACATGAGGGGAAAGGGGGGGGGGAAACAAGGGAGAGAATTGAACAACAGCAGATGAGGTAGAGAGGGATGATGGGAGGGGAGGGGAGGGGGGATAGTAGGGGAAAGGAAAGGTAGCAGAATACAACAGTCACTAATATGCCATTATGTAAAAATGTGAGTGTGTAACCGATGTGATTCTGCAATTTGTATTTGGGGTAAAAATGGGAGTTCATAACCCAATTGAGTCAAATGTATGAAAGATGATATATCATGAGCTTTGTAATGTTTTGAACAACCAATAAAAAAAAATTTAAAAAAAAAGATAACCATGGAGGAAAGCTATGAAGAGACTATCAACAGAACTTCCAAGAAATATGGGATAACCTGAAAAGACCAAATTTAAGATTTATCAGAATACATGAAGGCATGGAAATACAAACCAAAGGAATACACAATCTTTTCAATGAAATAATACCTGAAAATTTCCCAAAACTAAACAATAAAATGGAAAATCAAATACAGGAGGCTTGCAGGACCCCAAATATACAAAATTACAACAGACACACACCAAGGCATATTATTATGAATATGCCTAACATACACAATAAGGATAGAATTTTAAAGGCTGTCAGAGAAAAACAACATGTCACATTTAGAGGAAAACCAATCTGGATCTCAGCTGATGGCTCAACACAGATCCTCAAAGCTAGGATGTCTTGGAATTATATACCAAGCTCTGAAAGAAAATGAATGCCAGCCAAGAATACTATACCCATGAAAATTAAGTTTCAGGAATTATGATGGAATAAAAGCCTTCCATGATTAAAAAATTTAAAAGAATTTACAACTAGAAAGCCTTACAAACATTCTCAATAAAATATTTCATGAAGAAGAAATGAAAAATAAAAGTGAACCAGCAAAGGGAGGAACTACACTAGAAAAATAGTTAACCAAGGAGAAACTAATTCAAATTAAAAACTAGAAATAAATCAAAATGACAGGGAATAAAAATCATTTCTCAATAATAGCACTGAATGTAAATGGCCTAAACTCATCAAATCAAAAGACACAGACTGGCAGATTGGATTAAAAAACAAGGCCCAACAATATGCTATCTCCAAGAGAGTTACCTCATAGGCAAACAACATCCACAGACTAGAGGCAAAAGGATGGGGAAAAGCATCATTCACACAGATCTCATAAACAAGCAGGTGTTTCTATCCTCATATCAGATAAAGTGGACTTCAAGCCAAAGTGAATCAGAAAAGACCAAGAAGGTCATTTCATACTGCTTAAGGGAATTATACATCAACAAGACATAATAGCAGTACATATTTATGCCCCGAACAGGGGAGCATCTATGTACATCAACCAATCCCTTCTCAATTTCAGGAATCTAATAGACCACAACACAATAATACTGGGAGACTTTAACATACCTCTCACCACTAGAAGATCCTCCAAACAAAAACTAAATAAAGAAGCTAAAGAACTAAAAACTACAATTAGTAATTTAGACTTAAAAGATATATAGACTATTTCATCCATCAATAACTAAATAATCTTTCTTTCAGCAGCACATACATTCTTCTCTAAAATAGACCATATCTTAGGCCACAAAGTAACTATTAGCAAATACAAAAAAAAATAGACATAATACCTTGTATTCTATTAGATCATAATAGAATGAAATTAGAAATCAATTATAAAATTAAAAATAGAAGCTACTCGAACACCTGGAGACTAAATAGTACTCTATTGAATGATCAGTGGATAGCAGAAGAAATAAGGGATGAAATTAAAAGATAATTAGTGCAAATTGAAGATTTGCACAACGGGAGCCTCTTCAGGTAGACTTCTATGCCCTAGAGACATGTTCCCATCATTTTTTTTTTTCAAACACATCCGTGTTTTCTCATTCAACAAGATTTTTCAGGTCCATATTATCTTTTTCCAACCCCATCTCTGGAATCAGCCCTTTCTCCAATT